ACTGGAGTAGCTATATTCATTTCAAACAGCTGATTTTAGAGCATAAAAAAATTACCAAGGATAAAAAAGGGGCATTATATAATGATAAAAGGGTTAATTCTCGAAGAAGACATAAAATCCTTTTATATATGTGTCTAGCAACAGCATCAAAAATATGTGAGTCAAAGATTAATAGGAGAAATAGATGAGACTACTATATAGTTGAAAATTTCAACATTCTTGTATCAGAAAATCTGTAAGGACATAGGTGAACTCAACACTATCAATCAATTGACTGTAATGGACATCTATAGACTTTCATTCAACAACCACAGAATATACATTCTCTTCAAACGTACATGAATACTCACCAAGATAGATCACATTCTGGTTTATAAAACACACCTTAACAAATTTGAAAGAACAAAAATCATACAATGTCTGTTGTCAGGCCACAATGAAATTGAAGTAGACATTCAAAAACAGAAAGATAGATTAAAAACCTCAAAATATATGCAGATTAAAGAACACTTTTAAATAATACAGGGGTCAAAAAACAATATCAACAGAAATTTTAAAATATTTTGAACTAAATAAAAATGAAAATACAATTTATTAAAATTTGTGAAATACAGCAAAAACAGTGCTTAAAGAGAAATTTATAGCATTAAATGCATATATGAGAAGGGAAGAAGAAACTAAAATGAATCTAAGCTTCCACTTTAGGAAATAAGAAATAAGAGAACAAATTAAATCCAAAGTAAGTAGAAAAAAAGAAATAATAAAAATAAAGCAGAAATTAATAAAATTTAAAACAAGAAATCAATAGAGATCAATGAAACTAAAAGCTGTTTTCTTGAAAAGATCAATAAAATTGACAAGTCTCTGGCCAGATGAACTAAAGAAATAGGAGTGGCAACACAAATTAAATCAGAAATGAAAGAAAAGACATCACTACAAATGTCATGTTCATTAAGAGGTTAATAAAGGAATACTCTGTGCTCAAATATTTGATAACCTATGTGAAATGAACCAATTTCTTGAAAGACACAATCTGACAAAACTCACACAAGAAGAAATAAATAATATGAATAGGTAGGCCTATAGCTATTAAAGAAATTTAATAATTAATTAATAACTTTACAAAACAGAAAGCACCAGGCCCATATGGGTTTACCGGTGAATTCTATTACATATTTAAGAATGAAATTATACCCATTATCTGCTATGTCTTCCAGAAGATAGAAGAAGGAATAATTTCTAATTCATTATATGATATCAGCATTACCCTAATACAAAACCAGACAAAGAAGGACATTACAAAAAAAAGAAAATTACAGACCAATATATTTCATAAACATAGATGCAAAAATCCTCTACAAAATATTAACAAATTAAATTCAATAATGTATAAAAAGATTTATACACCATGACCAAGTGGGACTTACACCAGCTATATAAGGCTGATTCAACATTTGAAGATCAATTGATGTACTTTGTCACAATAGGTTAAAGAAGAAAAGTCACATGACTATATTAATCAATGCAGAAGAAACACATGGCAAAACCAAACACCCAGTCATAATAAAAGCTTTCAGCAAACTAAGAATAGAGGATAACTTCCTCAACTTTATAAATAATATCTACAAAAAACCCAAAGCTAATATCCGACATAATATGAGAAACTAGAAGCTTTCTCACTAAGACTAGAAAGAAGGCAAGAATGGCCCTTTTCACCATTCCCTTTTAGCATGTACTAGAGATTATAGATAATGCAATAGGGCAAGAAAAGGAATTAAAAGGCATGCACATTGGGAAGGATAAAATAAAATTATCTTTGTTCACAGATGAAATTGTTATCTATGCAGAAAATCTCAATCAATAAACAACAACACAACTCTAGAAAATAATAAGAAATTGTACCAAAGTTGCAGGAAATGAAGCAAAACAAAGTCAATCACTTTGCTACACACCAGCAATGAACAAGGGGAATTTGAAATTGAAAACATAATACTCTTTACATTAGCACCCCAAAAAGGAAATATATAGATATAAATTTAACAGAATACGGGTCCAAGATCTACATGAGGAAAACTACAAAACCGAAGAAAAAAATTAAAGAAAGGCTAAATAACTAGGGAGATATTCCATGTTCATGGATAGAAAGACTCAATATTGTCAAGATGTCAGTTCTCAATTTGATCTATAGACTCTAAACAATCCTAATAAAAATCCCAGCAAGTTATTTAGTGGATATTGACAAACTGATTCTGAAGTTTATGTGAAAAAAACCAGAATAGCCAACAAAATTTTGAAGAAGAACAAATCAAAGGATTAACACTATCTGACCTCAAATTTTATGATAAAACCACAGTAATGAAGACAGTGTAGTATCGACTAAACAAACAAATAAATAAATGGAGCAGAATAGAAAGCCCAGAAATACGCCTACATAAATAGAGTCAACTGATCTTTGACAAAGGAGCAAAGGCAATATAATGGACAAAAGACATTCTTTTCAATAAATTATTATTAATTGCCAAAACTTGGAATCAACCAAAAGATCTTTTAGTAGGTAAATGGATGAACAAACTGTGCCACATGCAAATAATGCAATATTATTCAGCACTGTAAAGAAATGAGCTATCAAGTGATGAAAAGAATGAAGGAATCTTAAATGCATATTATTAAGTGAAAGAATCAATAATCTCAAAAGAATGCCACATACTGTATGATTCTAACTACATGACATTCTGGAAAAGGCAAGGTTATGGAGACAGTAAAAAGATCTGTGTTGCTAGGAGTTCAGGGAGAGGGTTATAAATAGAGCATAGAGGAATTTGAGGTCAATGAAACTATTTTGCATACAATAATGATGTATGTATGCCATTTTTATTTATGAAAATCCATAGAAGGTACACTACCAAGATTGATTCCCTAATGTAAAAACATTATTATGAATGGTGTCAATGGTGCCAAGGTTTGAAAATCCCATTGGAATAGCAAAGGGAGCAGAAAACATATCTGAAGTCTTTTGTTATCAAAGGGAAATAGTACATTTTATATCTTTGTTATGTTGAAAATATTTTCATATAATTGACATGACTTTTATTCAAGAAACATCAAATTTTCTGACAAAATTTTTGTCAGACTGAAGCCATCATCAAGATTAAGATTTGTATTAAATATGACCCTTTAAAATGTAACACTTTTCCTGTCTGTTTCTGATCACAACTTTTGAAAACTAATTGATTTTAGATTTTTACTTAATTTTAATACTATGTATGATTTAATACCTCTACAAGTTTCATATGCGAAGTCTTATTTCCAAGGCTCCTCTCAACGTTACTACACTACAAAACAAACCTTCCTGAAGTATTATTCAGATAATGTCAAAAATCTTTACTGATTTGTTGTTGTTTTGTTTAACTACTTCTTGGTTTTATTTATAGTCAAGGTTTTAATTTTAATACTATGATTTAATACCTCTGCAATAGTTTTGTAAGTGGACTCTATTTCCAAGGCTCTTCTCAACTTTACTATACCATGAAACAAACCTTCCTAAAAACATTATTCAGATACTTCAAAAATCTTTACCGATTTGTTGTTTTAACTACTTCTTGGTTGTGTTTATAGTTAAGATTGTGGAGGGGAAATGTGTAATAGGATGTCCAGTGAAGCTTTTCCTGTTTACCTGGAATTAGTGACTAGGGCCCATCCCACAATTAACAACAAAATACCTACATATTTCCATATTCTAATGACATCTGCTACAAAGTCACCAAATGTTGGAGTGAGTCAACACTCTCCATATATTTGCTACAACTACCTAAAAGACTAGAACCTCAATGTTAAGTAGATAATGTTCTACCTCTCCACATTCCTTGTCTCCAGTCCCCAAGAGACGACCCACAGGAAAGACAGGGAAGAACAACTAAGAAGCAAAGTAAGGCTTCTTTCCCCCTTCTATTGAGTCTTTCTGGCCACTAATCTAGCCAGTGATAAGGATCATGAAAATTTTCAGTCAAATAGGAAATTAGTTTTGAATTGACCTGGATGTTTAGCAATCAAAATTAACCACAGGGTTTTTAAAATTTGTTTAAAAGATTATTAAGGTATTGTTTTAAGTTACCCAAACCAGAAATCTAAAAAGAAAAGGCTCTCCCTTACTCTTTTGCCTCCTCTCTCTAAAGGGTCACTAAATTCCTAGGTAATTCTATCATCTAAATAATTCTTTTCCTCGATGCCTCCTTTTTTCCATGCTGCCACTGACGTAATTTAGGTCCCTGTTATCTCTTATTTGATCTATACTTACTCATCTCCATTCCTCTAGGATCAAAACGCTGTCATTCATCATCCACATTGCCAGACAATCGTTTTAGCATATAACTCTCATTATTTCACTTCTGCACTATTCAAAGTTCTTTGATGACTCCCTATAACCTTTAAAACAAAAATCCAAAGTTGTTCATCCAGAATATGTCTACCTAGTGATAGGATCTCAACCTATATAGCATCTCCTGCTCATACTTTACACTTCAGTATGATACAACAGTATCATACTTGAATTTTAGTTTTTCCAAGTTGTATTCACTCAAGCCCATGGTTTTCTGTGCAATTTTCTGCACTTAGAACGCTGTCTCTTAACATGGGGTAAGCCTTATCACTTAACTCTCATCTCAAGTAGCTTCTCTTCTCTAAATCCTTTCCTGACTTCAAGCTGCCCTGGGTTTTCTTTTTGTAGGTTCCTGTAATATTTCAGATATACCGCCATTAAAAGCAATCATCATAGCATATGATAACTACTAACACATTTGACTCACCACTAGGTTGTAAGTTCTTTGAAGAGCAACAACTTTTTTCTTTCATGCTCTCAGTGTCTAGTGTGATACCTGATGTGTAGTAGCTGCTGGATGCATGTTTGTTGAAAGTATACATGAATGGAAGCTAAAATGTTAAACATATTTTCATATTACTTGAAAAGTACTAGATATTAGGATGTTCTTTGATTATTCTTACAGGTGAAAATGAACAACTAAAAATAAGTGCTGATCTTATAAAAGAGAAGTTAAAGTCTCATGAACAGGTGAGTTTATGTATCATTTTCTTCAGTCAAGTCTGTAGAGCACTTGTCTTTTCAAATTAGAAAAAAAAAAAAAGAGGTTTTTAAATTAATAAACAGAGCCAAAGGGGTGTGTGTGTGTGTGTGTGTGTGTGTGCGTGTGTGTGTAGATACATATGCTGAAATCTTTAATAAATGACAATTTGTTTTGAAAGTAATGCAAGTTTTAGTTTTTTACAAAACATAATGTACTAACATATAACTTGCATTATTTTTTCTTTATACCAAAAAGATGCAATTATTTTGCTACATATTTTTCAATTATGTTAATAGAATTTTCACTCTAATAAACTCTATTTGTTACTACTTGTGAACTTTTTTATTATAATGTAAATGGATCTATACTCTTTATGATTTGGATAATCATTACATCATTCAAATACAGAAGGTATTTCGTGTGGATCACAGATTATTTCTCTCCCAAGAGCAACCATACCCTCTACTAGTTTTCCTTATCTCCTATGGAAACAGTATAGTGGTAGCAGTTGTAGAACACATAAACAATGCCAAAAAAACATAAAAGATGCTAAATAAACGTCAGTTCCCTCTGCTCTTTGAGAGGTTCATTATGCTAAATTTCTCATCTCTCAAGAGCTAACATGTCAAATTCTAGCAAACCAAAGAACCTCAAAACTCAAGTTGAATCTATAGCAGCCTCCAACTTGAAGAATCTTCTCTAAACTCAGTAGGTTTCTCATTTGGGGAACCTCTGAAGAAACCTCCTCAGAACTTCTGGTTAATACTCCACAGTAATTAGTAGAATTCTGGCTATGCTCTTGGAAAATTTAGCTTTTCATCGCCTTTTTTTAAAAATAATTTCTTTTATTGTACTTTAAGTACTGAGGTACATGGGCAGAACATGCAGGTTTGTTACATAGGTATACACGTGTCATGATGGTTGGCTGCATTCATCACCCCATCATCTACATTAGGTATTTCTCCCAATGCTATCCCTCCCCTAGCCCCCATCTCCCAACAGTCCCCAGTATGTGATGTTCCCCTTTCTGTGTCCATGTGTTCTCATTGTTCAAATCCAATTATGAGTGAGAACATGCAGTGTTTGGTTTTCTGTTCTTGTGTTAGTTTGCTGAGAATGATGGTTTCCAGCTTCATCCATGTCCCAAGAAAGGACATGAATTCATCCTTTTTTACGGCTGTATAGTATTCCATGGTGTATATATGCCAAGATTTTCTTTATCCAGTCTATCATTGGTGGGCATTTTGGTTGGTTCCAAATCTTTGCTATTGTGAACAGTACTGCAATAAATATACATGTCTGTGTATCTTTATAATAGAATGATTTATAATCTTTGGGCATATACCCAGTAATGGGATTGCTGGGTCAAATGGTATTTCTATTTCTAGATCCTTGAGGAATCACCACACTGTCTTCTACAATGATTAAACTAATTTACACTCCCACCAACAGTGTAAAAGTGTTCCTATTTCTCCACATCCTCTCCAACATTTGTTGTCTCCTGACTTTTTAATGATCACCATTCTAACTGGCATGAGATGGTATCTCAATGTTGTTTTAATTTGCATTTCTCTAATGACCAGTGATGATGAGCTTTTTTTCGTTTTGTTGGCTGCATAAATGTCTCCTTTTAAGAAGTATTTCTTCATGTTCTTCACCCATTTTTTGATGGGGTTGTTTTTTTTTTCATGTAAATTTGTTTAAGTTCTTTGTAGATTCTGGATATTAGTTCTTTGTCAGGTGGGTAGACTGCAAAACTTTTCTCCGATTCTGTAGGTTGCCTGATGACTCTGATGATACGTTTCTTTTGCTATGCAGAAGCTCTTTAGTTCAATTAGATCCCCGTTTGTCTATTTTGGCTTTTGTTGCCATTGCTTTTGGTGTTTTAGTCATGAAGTTTTTACCCTTGCCTATGTCCTGAGGGTATTGACTAGGTTTTCTTCTAGGGCTTTTATGGTTTTAGGTCTTATATTTAAATGTTTAATCCATCTTGAGTTAATTTTTGTATAAGGTGTAAGGAAGGACCCAGTTTCAGCTTTCTGCATATGGCTGGCCAGATTTCCCAACACCATTTATTAAATAGGGAATCCTTTCCCCATTGCTTGTTTTTGTCAGGTTTGTCAAAGATCCGATGGTTGTAGGTGTGTGGCATTATTTCTGAGGCCACTGTTCTGTTTCATTGGTCTATATCTCTGTTTGGTACCAGTACCATGCTGTTTTGGTTACTGTAGCCTTGTAGTATGGTTCGAAGTCAGGTGTGTGATGCCTCCAGCCTTGGTTTTATTGCTTAGAATTGCTTGCCTATGCAGGCTCTTTTTTGGTTCCATATGAAATTTAAGGTGGTTTTTCCAGTTCTATAAAGAAAGTCAATGGTAGCTTGATGGGGATAGCATTGAATCTATAGATTACTTTGGGCAGTATGGCCATTTTCACAATATTGATTTTTCCTAACCATAAGCATGGAATGTTTTTCCATCTGTTTGTGTCCTCTCTTACTTCCTTGAGCAATGGTTTGTAGTTCTCCTTGAAGTGAGCCTTCACATTCCTTGTTAGGTGTATTCCTAGGTATTTAATTTTCTTTGTAGCAATTGTGAATGGGAGTTCACTTATGATTTGGCTCTCTGTTTGTCCATTATTGATGTATAGGAATGCTTGTGATTTTTGCACATTAATTTTGCATCCTGAGACTTTGCTGAAGTTTTTTATCAGCTTAAGGAGATTTTGGGCTGAGATGATGGGGTCTTCTAAATATATAGAGACAATTTGACTTCCTCTTTACCTATTTGAATACCCTTTATTTCCGTCTCTTGCCTGAGTCCCCTGGACAAAACTTTCAGTGCTGTGTTGAATAGGAGTGGTGAGAGAGGGCATTCTTGTCTTGTGCCAGTTTTCAAAGGGAATGCTTCCAGTTTTTACCCATTCAGTATGATATCAGTTGTGGGTGTGTCATAAATAGTTATTATTTTGAGGTACGTTCCATCAGTACCTAGTTTATTGAGAGTTTTCAGCATGAAAGTTGTTGAATTTTATCAAAGGCCTTCTCGGCATCTATTGAGATAATCATGTGGGTTTTGCCTTTGGTTCTGTTTATGTAAAGGATTACATTTTCATATTTGTGTATGTTGACCCAGCCTTGCGTCCCAGAGATGAAACCAGCTTTATCGTGATTGATAAGCTTTTGGATGTGCTGTTGGATTGGGTTTGCCAGTATTTTATTGAGGATTTTTGCATCAATATTCATCAGGGATATTGGCCTAAAATTTTATTTTAGTTGTGTCTCTGCCAGGTTTTGGTATCAGGATGATGTCGGTCTCATAAAATGAGATAGGGAGGATTCCCTCTTTTTGTATTGTTTGGAAGTTTTGGAAGGAATGGTACTAGCACCTCTTTGTACCTCTGGTAGAATTCAGCTGTGAACCTGTCTGGTTCTGGAGTTTTTTTGGTTGGTAGGCTATTAATTGCTTCCTCAACTTCAGACCTTGTTATTGGGCTATTCAGGAATTCAACTTCTTCCTGGTTTAGTCTTGGGAGGGTGTATGTGTCTGGGAATTTATCCATTTCTTCTATATTTTCTGTTTTATTTGTGTAGAGGTGTTCAGAGTATTTTCTGATGGTAGTTGGTATTTCTATGGGATTGGTGGTGATATCACCTTTAGCATTTTTTATTGCATCTATTTGAGTCTTCTCTCTTTTCTTCTTTATCAGTCTGGCTAGTGGTTTATCTATTTTGTTGAGTGTTTCAAAAAAAAAAAAAAAACAGCTTTTTTTGCTTTCCATTTGCTTGGCAAATATTCCTCCATCCCTTTATTTTGAGCCTATGTGTGCAAAGACATAGGCCTGTGAGATGGGTCTCCTAAATACAGCGCACCAATGGGTCTTGACTCCATATCCAATTTGCCAGTCTGTGTCTTTTAATTGGGGCATTTAGCCCATTTAAAGTTAAGGTTAATACTATTATGTATGAATTTGATTATGCCTTTATGATGCTAGCTGGTTATTTTGCCATTAGTTGGTGCAGTTTCTTCCTAGCATCAATGATCTTTACAATTTGGTATGTTTTTGCAGTGGCTGCTACTGGTTGTTCCTTTCCATGTTTAGTGCTTCCTACAGGACCGCTTGTAAAACAGGCCTGGTAGTGACAAAATATAAATATTTTGAGCATCCTTAATATTATAAACCCTGGTGATGAGTATCCAGAAAGCAAAGATTAAAAAAGACATTGTTTCTATAATATATTTCCTTATCTTATTTCCTTATATCAGAAATTGATCTTTCTTATGGAATTCATGAAGCAGAGAGTAGAGTGGTGGTTAGGAATGGCTGTGGTGGAGGCGACAATTGGGGAGATGTTAGTGAAGGATAAACAATTATAGTTAGAAAGGAGGAATAGCATCAGGAGAGCTATTGTACAGTTTGGTGATTGTTATCAATAACAAGTATTATATACTTGAAAATTGCTAACAGAGTAGTTTTTTAATGTTCTCACCACAAAAAAAGTGATAAATATGTGAGGTAATGGATATATTAATTGGCTTGAGTTAGGCATTCCACAATGTATACATATATTAAAACATCATATTGTACATCATAAATATATATAATTTTTAATTTTCAAGTTAAAAATTTAATTTTTAATTTTAAAATATTTTACTTTATACATATAAAAAATAAAATAAAATGGGTCTACCTCAAAGCTGATTATTAAAACAATGAACAATATTTTTCCTTGTCGGTGTGATAACTTGATTATTAGAAAGGTGAAATTGTTCATTTACATTAAATATATATTACCTTTTAAAACATAATATAAATGGAGAATTTTTAAAGTATTTAAAAAGTAATATGAGTTATATGCACATATTTAAATTTTTTAAATAAATATATATTTCAATCTCTAGGAATATAAGAATAATATTGCCAAACTTATAAGTGAAATGAGAATCAAAGAGGAGGGATATAAGACAGAAATAAGCAAACTTTATCAGGACATGCAGAAAAAAGGTAAGTTTAAAATAAACTTACTTTTGTGTTATAGATTAAAGGGATATATGTGCAGGTTTGTTACATGGTTATATTGTATAATGATGGTGTTTGGGCTTCTAGCAAACTCATCAATTATATAGTGAACATTAATCACAATTGTTTTTCAACAATCACCCCTCCCTTCCCTTCTTTTGGAATTCCCAGTGTCTATGGTTTCTATCTTTATGTCCGTGAGTACCCATTGTTTAGCTCCCACTTATTAAGTGAGTACATGCAGTATTTGATTTTCTGTTTCTGAGTTATTTTACTTAGAATGGTGTCCTCCAGCTCCAACCATGTTGGCAAAGAACTCAATTTTATTTTTTAAGGCTGCATAGTATTCCATGGTATATATACACCACATTTTCTTCATCCAATCCATCATTGATGTGCACTTAGGTTAATTCTGTGACTTTGCTATTGTGAATAGAACTGTGATAAACATGCAAGTACAAGTGTCTTTTTGATAAAACAATTTATTTTCCTTTGAGTAGATACCCAGTAATAGGATTACTGGATTGAATAGTAATTGTATTTTTAGCTATTTGAGAAATCTTTGTAATGTTTTCCATAGAGGTGAAACTAATTTACATTTCCACTAACAGTGCATTATTGTTCCCTTTTCTCCACATCCCTGACAACATCTGTTTATTTTTGACTTTTTAGTAATAGCTGTTTGACTGGTTTGAGAAGGTATCTCATTGTAGTTTTGACGTGCATTTATCTGATAATTAACAATGTTGAGCATTTTTTCATATGCTTGTCAGCCACGTATATATCTTCTTTTGAGAAGTGTCTGTTCATGTCCTTTGCCCACTTTGTAATGGGGTTATTCGTTTTTGTCTTGTTGATTTGTTTAACTTCTTTGTAGATTCTGGATATTAGTCCTTTGATGAATACATGGCTTAAAAATATTTTCTCCCATTCTGTAGGTTGTCTGTTTATGATGTTGATTGATTCTTTTGCTGTGCAGAAACTCTTTAAAACTGATTTATCTATTTTTGGTTTTGATGCATTTGCTTTTCAGGTCTCAGTCATAAATTCTTTGCCTAAGCAAATTTCCAGAAGAGTTTTCCTATGTTTTCTTTTAAGATTTTTATAGCTTAAGGTCTTACATTTAAGTCTTTAATTAATCTTGAGTTAATTTCAGTGTATGGTAAGTGATAGAGGTCCAATTTAATTTTTTTGCACATGGCTAGCCAATTTTCCCAGCACCATTTTTTATAATAAATAGGAAATCTTTTCCTCATTGTTTATTTTTGTAGAATGTGTTGAACATTAGTTTGTTGCAGGTGTGTACCTTTATTTCTGAGTTCTTTATTCTTTATTCTTTTTTTACAAATCTGTGTTTCCATTTTTGTACTAGTACCGTGCTGTTTTGGTACTCATAGAATACCAGTACCTGTAGAATAGTTGGAAGTCAGGTAATGTGATGCCTCCAGCTTTATTCTTTTTGCTTAGAATTGCTTTGGCTATTCAGGCTCTGTTTTGGTTCCACATAAATTTTAAAATTGCTTTTTCTAATTCTGTGAAAACTTACATTGGTAATTTGATAGGAATTGAATATGTGGATTGCTTTGGGAAGTAAAGTCATTTTGATTATATTGATTCTTCCTATCCATGAGCATGAAATGATTTTTCATTTGTTCATGTCATCTATGACTTCTGTTATCAAACTGCTTTGTTCTCCTTATAGAGGTTTTTCACCTTCTTTGTTAAATGTATTTCCAGGTAATTTTGTGTGTGTGTGGTAATTGTTAATGGGATTGAGTTCTTGATTTGGTTCTCAGCTTAAGTGTTGTTGGTTTATAAGAATGCCACTGATTTTGATGTATTCATTTTGTATCCTGAAACTTTACTGAAGACACTTGTAAGGCCTAGGAGGAATCTTTAGGGTTTACTAGGTATAGAATCTTTTAGATGAAACTTTAGGGTTTTCTAGTTGTAGAATCATATTAACAGCAAACAGATATAATTGGACTTCTCCTTTTGCAATTTGGATGACTACTATTAATTTCTCTTGCCTGATTGCTGTAGCTAAAGACTTTCAGTACTATGTTGAATAGGGGTGGTAATAGTGGATATCCTTGTTTTGTTCCAGTTCTTAAGGGAAATGCTTTCAACTTTTCCCCATTCAGTATGATGTTGGCTGTGGGTTTGTCATGTGTGGCTCTTATTGTTTTGAGGTATGTTCCTTCAATGCCTATTTTTAGGGTTTTTATTATTAAGGATGTTGGATTTCACTGATGCTTTTTCTGCATCTACTGAAATGATCATATGGTTTTTGTTTTTAATTCTGTTTATGTAGTGAATCACATTTATTGACTTGCATATGTTGAACCATCCTTGCATCCCTGAAATAAGGCCATTTGATCCTGATGAATTATCTTTTTGATATATTACTGGATTCTGTTTGCTAGTGTTTTGTTGAGAATTTTTGAATCTATGTTTATCATAGATATTGGCCTGTTGTTTTATTTTTTATTGTGTCCTTGACAGATTTTGGTGTCAGCATGATACTGGCTTCATAGCATGGTTAGAGAGGCCTCCTTTCTCCTCAATTTTTTGGAATGGTTTCAGTAATATTGGTAGCAACTCTTCTTTGTACGTCTAGCAGAATTTGGCTGGCCTGTAAATCCTCTAGTCCTGGGATTTTTTTTGTCGGGGGGGTTGGTAGATTTTTTTAATTACTCATTCAATTTTATAACACATTAATGGTATGTTCAGAATTTCAATTTCTTCCTGGTTCGGTCTCTGGGAGTTGTATGTTTCCAGGAATTTTTCTGTTTGCTCTAGATTTTCTAGTTTGTGTACATAGAGGTGTTCATAGTAGTCTCTGAGGATCTTTTGTATTTCCGTGCTAATGGTTGTAATGTCAACTTTACCATTTCTGATTGTGCTTATCTGGAAACTTCTCTCTGTTTTTCTTGATTAATCTAGCAAGTGGTCTATCACTTTTGTTTGTCCTTTCAAAAAACCCACTTTTTGTCTCATTGATCCTTTGTATGGTTTTAGGGGGTTTTTTAAATCTCATTTTCCTTTAGTTCTTCTCTGATCTTTGTTATTTCTTTTCTTCTGCTAGCTTTGAGTTTGGTTTGTTCTTGTTTTTCTAGTTCATTTAGGTAAAACCTTAGCAGGTTAATTTGATCTCTATCTTCCTAATGTAAGCATTTAGTACTATAAACTTTCCCCCTAATACTACTTTTTCTATATCCTAGAGGTTTTGGTATGTTGTGACTGTGTTTTCTTTTGTTTCAAAAGAAGTTTTTATTTCTGTGTTTTTGTTATTGTTTACTCAAAAGTCAACCAGGAGCAAGCTGTTTGGTTTCCGTGTATTTGTGTGGTTTTGCAAGTTCCTTTTGATACGGATTTCTAATTTTATTCCATTGTGGTCCAAATATAAGTTTAATATAATTTTATTTTTAAACAAATTATTGAAACTTGTTTCATGATCAAGCATATGATCAATTTTAGAGAATGTTCTATGAACAGATGAGAAAAATATATATATTCTGCAGTTGTTGAGTGGAATGTCTGTAGATGTCTATTTGTTTCATTTGGTCAAGAGTCCAATTTAAGTCCAGAGTTTCTTTATTATTTTTCAGCCTCCATGATCCATCTAGTCCTGTCAGTGGGATGTTGGCCACCCAACTACTATGGTATAGCTGTCTATCTCTTTTCTTAGGTCTCATAATATTTGTTTTATAAATCTGGGTGCTGCAGTGTTGGGCACAGTTAAATCTGATTTTTAAATCTTCTTGTTGAATTGAAGCCTTTATCATTATGTAATAGTAGTTATATAGTTAAGTCTTGTTGAATTGAAGTGTTTATTATTACATAATACCCTTCTTTGTCTTTCTTTATGGTGTTGGTTTAAAGTATGTTTTAACTGATACAAGAATATCAACCCCTGTTCTTTTTCATTTTCTATTTGCATGGTACATCTTTCACCATTCTTTTACTTTGAACCTATGGTGTCATTACACATAGGATGGGTCTCTCAAAGTCAGTAGATGGTTTCGTCTTGTTTTATTAATCCAATTTGCCAATCTGTGTATTTCAAGTGGAACATTTAGACTGTTTATGTTGAGGGTTAATATTTATATGTGAGCTTTTATTCCCATTAGAGCGTTGTTAATGAGTTGCTTTACAGTCTCAGTTATGTAATTATTTTATAGGATATGTGAACTTTGTACTTACATGTGCTTTTATGGTAGCAAGTATTGTTCTTTTTTTTCCATGTTTAAAACTCCTTTGAGCATTTCTTGTAGGTCTGGTCTGGTAATGATTAATTCCTTTAGCATTTACTTATTTGGAAAAGACTTTATTTCTCCTTCCTTGTTTAGCAGGATATAAAATTCTTGGATGGGATTTTTTTTTTAAGAAGGCTAAAAAGAGGACCTCAGTCTCTTCTGGCTTGTAAAGTTTCTGTAAGAAGTCTGCTGTTAGTCTGATTGGATTTCATTTATAGGTAATTTGGCTATTTTCTGTAGCTGCTTTTGAGGTTTTTTTGTTTGTTTGTTTTATATATTGAGCTTAAATAGTCTAATGATTACATGTCTTAGTATCTTGCAAATGTCCTCTGAACTACTTATATCTGGGTGTTGATCTCTCTAGAAAGATTAGGAAAATTTTCCTAAATTATTCCCTCAAACATTTTCCAAGTTGCTTATTTTTCCTTCTCTCTCAGGAATGCCAAGAAGTCATAGAAAAGTTTTGTTGCTTTACATAATCACATATTTCTCACAGGCCTTGTTTTTTTTGAATTCTTTTTTCTTATTTTTGTCTCAATGAGTTAATTTGAAAGACTGATCTCCAAGCTTTTAAATTATTTCTTCTGCTTAGTCTATTGTTAAAACTCTCAATTATATTTTAAAATTTCTTTAGTGAATTTTTAAATTCCAGATGATTTTGTTTTGCTTTGCTTTTTAAAATATAGCTACCTCATCTTTCATATCCCGAATCATTTTCCTGGTTTC